AATTATCGCAGATTTCGATGAAGCAAGTATGGATTCCTAAGTCGACCAAGGTGAATCGAAAAATGTCAACCATTTTGAAACCTGTAAAAACCCTGCCAAACGGCAGCACTCATATTTTTCAGTTTTCAATATTTCAGTAGTCATGGTCGCTGACTTTCATATCGACGGTCCTGGAAAAAAGTTATTTTGCAAATTTGAAATCTACTCCGATAATTCAGTTCTATATGGATGCCGAGAAAACTTACTGACAATCAGTGATGACACATGAAACTTTAAGATCTAAAGTCAAATTTGAGGTCAAATTTGAACAACGAAAGTAGTTGGATCCAATACAAGTATCTACGCGTAGAAAAATTGTCAACGCTCACTAGAGAAAGTCAGCGAATCTTGTGGAGAACACTTGTCAAGGGCGTTGGAAAGTGGATGTCAGGAGGAATCAATCTCCATCGATTTTTCCAAGGCCTTTGCAAGGTTTCACCACCAGATCCTAATGTGTAAATTGAAGTACCAATCCCTATTATCTTGGTTTAAAAGCTATTTGGCATAGAGGATTGAAAAGAAAGGAGGATCAAAAATAAATAACAATACCAAAATATTCAATGACCAAATTAAGAATGCATATAACAGATGTCCTCGGCGTGACATTAAAATAATACTGGGAGAACTTAATGCCATAATAGGAAGGGAAACAGCATTCCAGCAGCAGATAGGGAAACATAGCCTGGCATGAGTTCAGTAGCGGACAAGGACGAGGTACAGTCTTCTACTAAAAGTTTTTTGGTTCAGGTTTGCAATTGTAGTTAATTGATCTAGGAAGGTTTGATTCAGTAACGCAGGGCCCGCTGTTATCGATTAGAATCTTATAAAAAGGAGAGAGTACCATCGACTCTAGTTGGCAAATCAAATTAATAAATAGTCTGAGGTTATGATAGTTGTTGTTTACTTTTTTTGATTTTTCAGTTCCATCATACATCTATCATTGAATAGCTGTCGCTGTCTGGGCGTTTGTTTTCTTTAAGAACTGTTCTACTTTTTGATATAGGTTCCATAGGCAATTTTCAGCAGTCACCGGTTATCTGGAGTCATTTATACACAACCCACCCTTCAGTTCGTATTTTTGGGATGAAACTTTAACACGCCCTTATCTTAATTTTCATCAATGTCAAAATTAGAAGTTTGACGTTGGAAGCCCCCTTTCCAAATCTAAGAGGAAGAATCTGCCCTTTTGATTTGGAGACCTGATGGTGTGTGGAATTTGGTGCCAGGGAGAACTCAAGTTAGACTAATTTTTTGTTGATCATTGTTTAGAGTTGTCCCTTGGTCATTTCGGATTTTGTTTCGGATTGTTCCGAGCAACTTTTGGAAGTTTAAGGCTTCACTTTTGGCCTAGAGTATCCCTCAGTTAGAAGGTTCTTTGCTGCATCTAGACAGATCCTGGGCTGTGTTTAAACTGGACCTAGGCTGGATCTAGATTGCTCTTAGTTGGGGCATTAGTAGCTCCTCTTCAGCAACCTTTTGCTACCACTGTGATAGAACCTCGTTAAGATCTACGTTAAACAGATAAAACGTAGGTAGGACTTCCATAGGACTCACTCACCATACCATAGTCTGGAACAAACTTAGAACTGCTAACTGCTTCTGTCTGGATCTACAATTAGACCAAAAACATGCAGATAACCCCACTTTGGGAACCTCTGAGTTTTCACATACATTTGAAGATAACACTTGTATGCATGTAAGTTGCACTTCTTACTATTTAGGCAAATCTTACATAAATCACTTGACACTGAATTACGTTCAGTACATGCCCCTTAAATAAAATTCTAGAATCTTACCCTAAGGTTGCCCAAACAATAATTTTCACCTTTCTGGTGTTAAATTTGCCTGCTGGTAGAGTGTAGCTGAAATTGTAGTCTTTCATCTTTCACAAGTGTAAATACCAAACATTTCAGTCATGTCTATTTAAAATTCATATTTATATATATATATGTACAAGATACCCTATCAAATCTACTAGATGTAAGAAACTGCACAGGCGCAAAACATCGACTCTTGTAGAAGATTCGCAGGCGAATATCTAATATTAAAACAGAAAAGGATACGAGATTCATAAAATAAGATACAGAGATTCTAAAATATTGTCAACTATTTAAGTAAATACCACTCTGTACATCAATTTTACTGAAGTGTGTCGGCGAGTCAGCATTTATTTGGTATAAATACAGCGCCGAAATCCATTACCGGCAGACTAAGGCTAGTGCAAAGTACCTCTAATGGGAAAATCCCCTCTAGCTAAGTCTCCTCCAAGTGCAAACTAGGTTCCTTTAATGGGAAACGCCCTTCTGGACCTGTCTCAAACCTAGCTTCAGTCTTCAGCCACGCCAAGTGTACAGAGGGTACATAATACAGAGTGGCCTATAAGTAGTACATCCCTCCGTCAGAGACGTCATGATACTATTTCTAGGGTAATATTATTATTCAATACATTATCTTATTATACCTATACCAAGCGAGTGAGCTACCTGAACCCCACCTACGCCCCCAAGTCACGCTTCTGGTGTGACGTCCCAGGACGAAACGTATAGGGGTTATGACAATATGGAAGCACTAGAGAATTCGTCACAAACTTGAAAACATAGAGAACACCTTATTCCATGCACTGAAAACCGCAGCCAGTGAAACCATAGGCGTTAACCAGAAAAAACGCAGTAGAGAGGACAGTCTTTGTGATCAGGGAGTATGAAGAACAAGAGATATTACAGAGCAATATAAAGAACTACGTCGCCAAAAGAAACGAATACACAGGGCAAAAAAGCGAACATTTGAAAATAAAAGGCTAGAGGAATTACCACTCACAGATCAAAATCTGTAAACCAATAACGTAAGACTTTTACCAAGAACAGATCTCTGTAGAGATAGACAAGGACTAGAGCTAAAATCTTAATCGATGGATGGAACACGAAGAATTGCTTCATGGCAATGGACCTCAAGAAAAAATTCAACAAGATCAACCTATTAGAAATACTGCACCCCAAGATCCACAAACTCTGATTGAAAGCAAGTGAGGGCCAAACCTCACAAAACTATTCAAACATGCAGGAGAGGAATTCACAAACAAGATTCATCGGATTATCATCCTGGTTTGGAACGGAAAAGAGTTGCCCGATGAATAGAACATTGGGGTAATCTGTCCACTTCATAAAAAAGGAGACATCTTGAATTGCAAAAAACTATCGAGGCATAAGCCTCTTAAACACCGCTTACAAAATCATCTCGAACATCATGTATGAAAGACTAATGCCAGCCACACACGTTACGATATACTTGCGCAAGTTTACGCTTGCACAAGTATACCATAACGTGTGTTGGAAGACAATTGCGCAAATTTATAAACTTGTAAAAACTTTCAGAAAAGTTTCAATTTTCGATTCCGATTCTTACGCAAGTTTACTTGAGCGTTTGGGGTGTTCCTTCTGTTCAAGTATTCAGTGGTTTCTTATATCCTAGCCGCCTACATGCCTGGTCCATATTTCTGTCTCGTCTGATATCTTTCAAGTAAACTTGTGCCATGTGTGGTCACACTCAAAAACTGTATACTTGTGCAAGTCTGCACTTTGCGCAAGTATATCGTAACGTGTGTGGATAACATAAGACCTTATGTCGAGAGAGAAATTTGAAACTACCAGTGTTGACTTTGACATACATACTTCGATAGACAGATATTAAAGAAAACCCTCGAGTTTAGTATCGACACATACCATACTTTCGTAGACTTCAAAGCGACTTATGACAGCATAATTCGAATAAGACTGTACGAGGCAATAAATGAATTTAAAACACCTGAAAAATGGATAAACACTATCGAGGTATGTTTGTTCTTTAGCATTGCTCCCAGATATTCACGGATCAAGTGGAACCATATTCTATAAACGGTGCAGCAGTATATGCTGATGATGCGGATGTAATAGCAAGGTCGCTCCACGCTCAAAGAGAATTGTATCACTTTGAGAGAGTCGGCCTATAGGTCAAAGAATCTTTAGATTTGTGGAAGCGTCTACAAAGCAACGTGAAAGGAACATCGGAAAAAACTTTACCATTGAGACGAGAACTTAGAGGACACTCGTGTGATTGTCTACCTAGGATCATTGATCAACTCCACCTTCAACGAAACAGATGAAATCAAGAGACGAATACTTCTTGCCAATCGCAGTTACTATGAGCTACATAAACAACTACGTAGCTCTAACGTGACCAGGCAACTGTACAAAACTCTTATACTACCGGTCCTTACGTATGGTTTGGAGACTTAGACAATCTCAAAGCGGAACGCTAAACTCCTAGTCACCTTAGAGAAAACTCCTAAGAACCTTATGTCTAAGGGTGTGCAAGGAAATGGAATTTGGAGTGGAAAACAACCATGAACTATACAAAGCCTATAACAACGCTGACGGCATCGACGTTCTCAGTACCATAAGAACAGGGGCTCGATTTTCGAATATTTTCATATACGAAATCTGATACGATTTCGAATGCTTCCCATTTAATTTACATTGCTGTCAGTCAAATTTCGTGTACGAAATGTACTCGAATGGTTTCGAAAATCGCACCCCAGGACGCTTACGATAGACGGGGCATATTCCAGCATGCCAAAGCGAGTCTTCAACTGTGAACCTGATGTCACCAGAAGACCAGGGACTTTATTCTCGAAACAGGGGTGTAGCGTTCTCATGAGAACGAAGGTTCTGTCGTCGTCGTCCATATTTCCATATGTGTTATTTCCATAACACTGACAATGAGAGAGCAATCGTTCTCATGAGAACGCTGTTCCTCGGTTTCGAGAATAAAGTCCCAGGAAGGCCAAAGCTCTGCTGCAAGGATAGTGTCACATTGGACGCAAGAAAGGGTGGCGTGTCAAACTGGAGAGTCGGCGCCTTACAACGTAAAGTTTGGAAGGGTAAAGTTACGAAGGCCATGACTTAGGATGATGATGAACAAAATCAATGGAGATTGAGCCAGCAACATTTATTATAGGTAAGAAAGATAATAGCGAAGGAAAAAAAAAACAATGAAGAAGGTAGGATGAATGCTGGAACAAAGAAAATTGATCAGTAAAGATGAAACGATGGAAAACGTAAAACAACGAAATATAGAGGAATCAATAAAAAATACAAACAACTTTCTAAGAAGACATGAACTAAAGCAACGAAGCAATGGTAGAAACAGTTATGGATGCCCTAAGAGTGCCTAACAGCATGACTCGACATGGAACAAAGGAAATGGATGAGAACAAAATCCCTTCAGATTTGGCAAAATTTCAGGTGAACTTTCCAGTTCACAGGAAAATCCTTTAACACGAGACACAAATCATTACCCATCGAAACCTCCAAGACACCTCCGAGACACCTCAACAACACCTCAGATACCTCCAAGACACCTCCGGGACTCCTCGCAATGGGAAAAAGATATACAAGTTATCGAGAAATTATGTGGAATTGATTAAGCAATTAATGATCTGAAAGACGACAAATCACCAGGAGAAATGGAGTGAAAACTGAAATGTCGAAAGAAATAGAATAATAGCTTCGTAATTGCAATGGAAACCATAATGCTGGGCAAGAGCTACCTCTTGCCCAGTAGCAGTTGGTAGATCACACAGTGGCGGCGCTTGGACGCACTGGGCCCCTAAGCAAATATCACAATTAGCCCCCCCTGGGTTTTATTAATGGTAAATTGTCCAATTAAAAAAGCCAAAATAACAAATTAAGAGCTGCTAATGATCATTCGAAATTTTGATTATTATTGGCTCTTGAGCTTTGAATGCCCTTAGGAAAATACTCTAGCGAATTCAGAGTTAATAAAAGTACAAATTTTGACCATTACCGGCTCTTGATTAGCTCCAGGAAAGTTTTCCAGAGAATCAAGAGCCGGTAATAGTTCAAATTTTGATTATCTGTGGCTCTTGATCCATTGGATCATTTTTCTTGGGGCAATTAGTAGCTGCGGAAGAAGAAATATTGATCAACATCAACTCAAGAGCTGCTAATGCTCATTTGAAATTTTGATTATTATCGGCTCTTGAGCTTTAAATGCCCATGGAAAAATTCTCTTGCGAATCCAGAGTTGATAAAAGTTCAAATTTTGACTATTCCAGCTCTTGATTGGCTCTAGGAAGGTTTTCCAAAGAATCAAGAGCCAGTAATAGTTCAAATTTTGATTATCTGTGGTTCTTGATCCATTGGATAATTTTTCTTGGACCAATTAGAAGCTGCGGAAGAAGAAATTTTGATTAACATCAACTGAAGAGCTGCTTATGATCATTCGAAATTTTGATTATTATCGGCTCTTGAGCTTCAAATGCCTTTAGAAAAATTCTCTAGCGAATCCAGAGTTGATAAAACTTCAAATTTTGACTATTACCGGCTCTTGATTGGCTCCAGGAAAGTTTTCCAGGGAATCAAGAGCCAGTAATAGTTCAAATTTTGGTTATCTGCGTGGCTCTTGATCCATTGGATATTTTTTCTTGGGCCAATTAGAAGCAGCGGAAGAAGAAATTTTGATTAACATCAACACAAGAGCTGCTTATGATCATTCGAAATTTTGATTATTATCGGCTCTTAAGCTTCAAATGCCCTTAGAAAAATTCTCTAGCGAATCCAGAGTTAATAAAACTTCAAATTTTGACTATTACCGGCTCTTGATTGGCTCCAGGAAAGTTTTCCAGAGAATCAAGAGCCGATAATAGTTCAAATTTTGATTATCTGTGGCTCTTGATCCATTGGATAATTTTGCTTGGGCCAATTAGAAGCTACGGAAGAACAAATTTTGATTGATATCAACTTAAGAGAAATACACTCACAAATTTTCTTGCAAATCCAGAGTTGATAAAAGTTCAAATTTTGACTATTACCGGCTCTTGATTGGCTCCAGAAAAGTTTTTCAGAAAATAAAGAGTAATAGTCTATGTCTGATAGACAATAAAGAAAGATCATGGAGTCTATGCTGACTTATAGAATTTCTCAAGCAATTTCTCAATATTTTGAATTCACTAAATGACTTTTCAGCGGTGGCAACTGGAAGGAATGTACCAGTTGAGTATATCGATCGATATTGGTCATTATATTTCTCAATTTTATATTGAATATAAAAAATATTTGTACTTAAAGGAAATAAAGGGGGCCCTTTCGGTCTCCCTTCGTGACTTGGTACCTAAGCATCGCTTATATCGCCGCCACTGGGATCACAAATAGATGGATCCATAACCTCGAAACGATGATCGACAATACAAGGAAAACATACGGGTGACTAATAAAAAGATTGATAAAGGTAAAATATCATAACAGAGATAAACCCATCAAAAACTACCATAGTGCTAGGAAGAGAAAGGTCTCTAGAATGAAGGGCATCCGAATACACGGAACTACTATTTACCGGTGACGGAAGTCAGATATCTCAGCATAGCGGAAAGCAAACTCAGATAGAGATACATTGAAGGAGCTGTCATGGTGTGTCGAAACCTTGCGGCCCAAACCTGGGGATGCAAACCAGGGATCTTGAGATGGATGTACACCATGATAATAAGTCCAACCGTACTATGTGGATCGATAATCTGGTTCAAGGAAGTTGAGATGTGGAATCTTGCGAAATGGGCGCGAGACAATTTTAAGTCTCGCACATCTTCACATCGTGGTGGAGGGAGCTTCTAGACGAGCAGTAATTAGTATCACGAATCACAAGGGAGGGAGCTGGCAAGGGAGGTTGGCTTGGAAGGAGAGAATTGGCATTTCTAACTAAGCTCATACTGCTCCTGGAACTTTCCAGGGAAGACAAGAAGCATACATACAAACATATAATTTTGAAAATCGCTTCACAGTAGTGATAAGAAGCATAGAAGAATGGGAAGGAAACACCACATCTATTCTTACATTGCAGCCGAACGCCATAAAATGGTATACTGATGGGTCAAGATCTGGACAAGGGACCGGATTACGTGGGCCTTGAAGAAGCAATGAGAAAGCACCCAGACATTTTTCAGGCGGAAATAAAGAATAAAAGTGGACGTGCTGAGTTCAATCTTGACAGAAACTACGCATAAAAAGAGATTGCTCAGATCATATTCTCATACAGTCAAGTAGCCATTAAAGCGCTGAACTCTCCAATAATTAACTCAAAAATGGGTTGACAATTCCTGTTACAAGTTAAACAAACTCGGCAAAAATAAAAAAACTATCCTTCCAGTGAATGACGGGATACGCAGGGATTTAAGGCAATGAGAAACTGGAGCAATTAGCGAAATTGGAAGCATAGACTGCTTTCAGGACACGAACCATTCTGTAGCATAGGGACGCACACCTATAGGAAAGCATTCAGAAACAAAGAGCGGACCAAATGGATCAGCCCCTGGGAACAAATTTCAGGATGAAGACATTCAAAGATGTTTCTCAGGCTCCCAAGGAAGATCAAAAGATCTTATGTAACTGAGTAAAAAAAAATCTTCGCACTCTCATTAAATTCCTTACAGGCCACTGCCAGTTAAAAGGGCACCTTGAGAGAATTGAAATAGAAAACGAGGACAGCTGCCGGTTCTGTGAGGAATGAGAGGAAACTCCAGAATATTTTCTCACGAAATACGAGGCGATCGTGAACATACGAATTGCTTGCTTTTATTAAATACACACTACGATGCAGGTGTGTGTGTCAAATTGGCCATCTATGTTTATTACACGCTTCTTTACTCGTGTAGTGGCAATAATCAGTTGAGTCTAATTTAATTTTTAATGTTATGGCCGCAATAGTATGGAAACAATTTCAAATCATAGTAATTACTTCTATACTCCTGGACAAAATTATCGCACCACCACTGCACATAAGCACCATAAGCAGTGGTGCGATAATTTTGTCCAGGAGTATGTTATAATAAGTTTTTAATCTATATACACCTACCTAGGTAATATAAAATATTAGTTTTATGTATTTAATTTTAAACAAAAGCGGACACTTATCGGCCCTAAAACAACATTTTTATCGTCAATAATCAATTCCCGAGCTTATTTTTAAAGTCAATTAACATTTATGTCGGTTCGTTTATTTCCGGACGATCTTTGGGCTCTCAGAAAACATAAATATACAAACCGTTAGCAATAATTCACATTACCATACTTGCACCTCGTAAAACAAGAAGACATAAACAAACATCAAGACTATGAAGTGAGGCTCTTATCTATCGTTGCATAAACTATTAAAAGCTTTAAAAATATGGGAGCTTTAAAATTTTAGAATTCTATTAACATAAAATTTTTGAAATGAATATTAGAAATTGAAGAAAACATCTGGGCACGTAATAAATATTAATTTGTGTCAGAAGAAAAATACCACTCCAAATAGAAAAATAAAGCCAAAAATATATTATGCGCATAATGTCGTGTGTTGGCAAAAAATTGGCGTCGCAAGAAGCTCAGTTGCCATTGTCGCTGAGCGGATAATAAAGCGAAAGCTATAAAGCTTGAAGTGCGTGTTTCATTAAAAGCCTCGACTTTATATTCTTCCGCTTTTGTGGCGCTGACATCTTTAAGGGTTCTTCGGATAATTGCCGGGAGTCAAAAGAAGTCCTCCTTTGGTGCTAGGGCATTGTACAATTTTTTTTTTTTTTAACATAAGTGCGGAATTGATAATTTATTCTCTGGTTTCTGATTGACACTTATAAGAACAAAATTAATGACATTGTTCACGCCTACTGTTTGTGAGAATAGGCCTAACATGCATTGTTCAAAATAAATTTCAATATGCTAATGGAGCTTTAGTAGGTTCCATATACATAGGCGTGGTGAGTTTGAATGAATTTAATAGGGCTTGGAGAGGAAAAAAAAATCGTTTTTTGAGGCTACTTTTTAATGATATCCTTGCAGCTAGCTTGTGGCTCAGAAAGCATTTATATTCACCTAATTGCTCGTTATACTCAGCTAATGGACAGGGTTACACTCGCTTTATGTAATATACTTTCCAGGAACGTTTCTGCTAAAAATGTATAAAAAAGA